CAAAAGGGCAAAATCTGGTGTATATGGAGGATACGGAATAAGCTCCCTTATTTTTGGGGTGTTGAATGTATTATTTGGCAATGCATACACTTACCGTGCTGGAAAATAACCACTTTTCTGTTTAACAAAGAAAGACATATTCGACGTCACGTTTCGTTTACCCGATCAAATTGCTGGCAATAAATATTTGAAATGACGATCTTTCCAGATTCCAGGAGCTCGTAATGGACGTCAACTTTTAAGCGGACTTTTAAACCTTGAACTGCAATCGCAATATAGTGTTGTTTTTATCAATTCATCCCATGCAAGGTGATGAATGTCACTAAGGGTCGTCTAGGAGTGAAAGAGAATGATTTGGTGTAGATTATTTCAGTTAAGTGGATTAAATCTGCGAAAACTAATTCCCAAATTGATTTTTTCCATTTATGCTATAGCTTCTTCATATGATTTCATCCTAAATTGACATTCGAACAACCTTTGATGCAAAGATTGTTTGAAAAAGATTATTGTAGCGTTAAAAGGGGAAAATCTTGAAGAACCTCTTATTAACCCCAGCTTTACAGTAAATGTACGAAGAAGGAGGGGGCGTTCATGTGATTGCACTTGCATCTGAATATGCTGTAACGGTTCATCCCTGTTTTTGTTTGATTATGAGATTTGTGAACAATGCCATGCTATTTGAAAGTTATTGCGGCCATAGGAAATTTACTGAATATCTAAAACATTGAAACAATTTAATACCGAGCAACGACGACACGAAAAGGTTTCATCGATAGATTTCTTTTATTAAGAACAATCAAAGACTTGCGAAGGACATACCGTAAAAAAGATGAGGGGGGAGTAGCTTAGTATACCAACGGATAATGCATGAACGATGGGATGCAGGCAGACATCCCTAGACAGAGGATGAGGGGATACAATTACAGCCATGTACACCCGGTGCTTCCGCTAGTATACTAAATAAAAAATCGAAAGGGAATCCAGAGAAATATACACATGAATAACAAAAATAACACTGAAAAATAACAGACTAGACAATGTTCAAACTGACTCACCAGACATTAGACTACTATTGTCCTCATCTTTGTCGCCATATTTATTACAACGTTTCGGCCGTTGTACGCTCCGGCCTTCTTCATGTGGTTGGAATGTCGAATTGAACCCTTTATTTCGCTCACTGGCGTATACTGTTCTAGTTTCGCATGCTCTGTCTAATGGGCGTCAGTCGTCAGTTATCTCCCGTCAATTCCCCTCTCCAAGTTCTCAACCGCCCTAACAAGGTATTGAACTCGCACACGGGATCTAGCTAACGCCTTTATCCACTGTGCTATGTGTCCTTGAAGACATCTGTGTATGAATTTCTGGGTATTATAAACCTAATGTCTTCAGCAACAATCTTTTACCAGTGTTCGTATTGCCATTTTTGCTGTTATCAATTTATGTTTTTACCAGAGCTCATATTGCAATTTTTGTTGTTATTATCGCTTTTCTCTGGCACTCCTTACTACTGGTTCCCATATTGTATTCATTTCTATGCTTGGTCGGCTCAGGAGATTTTTATGGTCTAGCATATGTGCTGATTCCTTAAGTTTACGAATTTTCCAATGATGTTCTTTGTTTATGCTCTCAACATGATCTCCTTTTTCTCTCCATATGTAGTCAGCCACCTGAAGAAGGCCGGAGCGTACAACGGCCGAAACGTTGTAATAAACATGGCAACAAAGATGAAGACAATAGTCCGAATAATGTAAATAGTGTACATAATACCTCATCTCAGAAATATAGACAAATGATATACGTTCAGTTATTTTCATGACGTCAAAACAGGTTGGCGCTACCAACCATTCCCTTTACATACTGCTACTATCTGACATTTGGTATGTCAGTGTACTAGAAAACAACTATTACAGTTCAAATAACTTAGAATTTTGCTGAAAATATTTCTCGTATGATTTTCCCCACTATGCTAAAATAATAATTGCAACATTTGCTACTTATATTCGGTACAGACGTTTTGCTCAGGGAAATAAAATTTCATGCCTGCCTTCAAGCAATGTTTATAGTGCTAAAAGACATAAACTGGAATTCTCAAATGATTATTGCAACATATTATTAGCCATTAGCGCTGGTATATTGAGGCGGGAAAGTTTAGGCGGGAAAGATGTCTCAGCATATTTACAATAATGCAGCTAAAAAGTAAACCTATTTCGCCCCCCACCCCCCACCAGAAGGGATATCTTCAAATCTAACAACTCCAATATGCTTCCTCCTAACAAGGAATCGACAAAATAAATAAGAATTGGGACAGATTTAAGTATTTAAACCAAATGTTTTATTCCTAAAATTTGAATGTTATATTTTTAAGCGCATAAACCTATAAACCGGACATCTTGCTGGATTGTCTTATATTGTCTGCCCCAGGGTACTTCATCTAATGCCGCTCAGTGGCGTTGTAAAAGACAGTATACAGAAAAAGGGAAACTAACACACAAACTCTCTCTTGTTCTTGCTGATATTTTCCTTTTGTCGTTTCCCAGCATCAGTGAATTCAGTGTTGTTTACAAAACAAGGAATATATATCTCTTCATATATATATATATATATATATATATATATATATATATATATATATATATTGTCATATACGGACAGAATTTCCCTGTGCCACAGCTCATCTGTGTTGCTAGCCATCCGGTTGTCTCAAACCGAGATCGAAACCCAATGGCATCAGTCGAAGATTATACTCTTGAACTATCAGCGCCTGGTAAAGAGAAAGGTGAAGTTTTGCGTATTTATTCTTTGAAAAAATACGCCAGTCACCGAAAGAGTTCAATTCATAGAAGAACTTTGCATTACCTGTAGTAGAAGTCACTGTTTAAAAATTCGAGCTTCAATAATAGATAGATAAATAGATAGATAGATAGATAGATAGATAGATAGATAATGAACTGATTGAGATAGATAGATAGATAGATAGATAGATAGATAGATAGATAGATAGATAGAAGAGAACTTAAAAAATACCCCCTATATATAACCAATTCTCCCCGCAAGAATTAACTATTCTTAGGCAATTCTTGCGGGAAGAAATAGCTATACATATGGGGTATTTTTGAAGTTCTCTTATATGTAATTTATTTATATATGCTCTGTAATAATTGAGA